GTGAGAAAACTAAGACATTTATGGCTACAAATTCACACAATGATATAAAGAATCTTAAAGGTTAATATTGCAAAGAAACCAGAATTCTTTTTATTGGGACTATGGACAATGAATTGGATAAAAAACTCAGTAGGTTGATTTTCTCATCGATAGAAGAATAATGAAATATCCACAGTAAAGCAATGGATTGTGAAAATGTCAAAATCTGCAGAGATAGCAAAACAATGTAGAAGCTGACAGTAAAAGCTCAAGTTGTACTTACAAGTTTTCTTACTTAACAACCATGTTGCTTAGTAACAGAATTGCTAGTCCCATTTGTGATCATTAAGCAAAGACTAGTGGCTCTCACACATAGGATTACAGCCTTGAAATTGATTTGGCCAGATTACTTGTTCTAAGTTTCTGTTTCACTTTTATCTGAAAAATTAAACAGAAACATTGTAATTGTTGTGGATTTAATAATACAAACACAACTTTTGGATTAATCAGAGACAATTTGTATATTGCGCAATAGGTTCAAAGCTCTGTACATGAAGCGTTGAACAAAGACAGAAATTAGGTACAATGGTTTTATACCCTTCTAGACAAAGGATTCTGTTAACTCAGCAATTCATATGGTCATATACATTTGTCATTTTTAATTGACATTTCCTAATTACTGAGTTTCTTTGCAAAACAGTTATAATTCTTTTTGTAGATTACTGAAGCATAGACTCAAATCATCTTCTGACGATAGACAACTTTTAACTCATGTGGATCCCCTTGACCTAACCAACCTTTAAGCTGTATGTCATTAGAATGTTCCTTTCTTCTGACAACTTAGAGGCCTCCTAGAGGTACCAAAAGGATTTTGGCTGAGTTTGTACTTTTTCCAACCGGATGCATTGCTTTTTAGAATAGAGTGAATAGAAAGTTATCCAGTGGTCATCTATCAGAGCCCGCTTCATTTACATTATAATTGTTTAATCTGTTTATAGTCACTTATATTATTTACAATAGTATATTTTAGTAGTGACAGATATTCCTAGGAAGGCCTAAAAATTAGATATGTGTTAGATGACTAATTGAAGTAGAAAAATAATATTAACAGTAGATCATAATACAAGGTGAAAATAAATCTTACGCTTACCTGTTGTTTTCTGGGTTTTCCCACTAATTATTTCCCCCCAAAATATCACAATTAAATTAAAGAACATGATGCTATAAATAAAGCTGTAAAATGAAAGGTTATAGCCTAATATAGAGATTTAAGAATAATTATTTCACAAATTAGTAATAAATTTAACAGGCCCAAATCACTTGGAAATTATTTTGCAATAACATGTAATTAATAGTATCCAATCCTATCTCATTTCCCAGTCTTATTAAAGTACTTTAATTAATCTGATTGTCATATGATTCATACATTGTACAGAACAGGTTTACAAAATGGAGGATAGATAAATAGTATAATTTTAATGCCTATTAAAAAATTTCATCATTCACAAGAAAACTTGTTCGTATTATTCCCCAGAGTTATTGTGCCTGATACCTGATAAAGGATGGCAGATTTGCATGGGAAGGATAACTGAGACCTGTATGGCTAGATTAATCTTTCTGTAACTTCCAGTATTTTTTTATTATCAAATTATTTTATGTGGAGAAGTGATTTTCCAGATTGCTTATTTCTTTATTATTTTCAAATATTGATTTTTTTTCTAAAATATTAACTTTAAGATTCCTTCTGCAATCTCCTTCATAAGTTTAATGCTGAACATTAACTTTAGGGGTTTTTTTGCTACCAAACATAATAGAAATAAACAAAAATTAAGAAATAATTCAGTTTTATTGTTTTAGAAATATTCATCTTTTAGGATTTCTATATTTTAATGCTGTAAACTGAATTGTTTTGATACAAGATGGGTGGCAAATAAATTTAATAAACAAACAAACAAACAAACAAACAGAATACATCTTTCATTCTGAATTCTGAATTTTAACTAGCATTCCTGGTTTCCTTTGTGCCTTTTTTTAAGTTCATGAACAAATCAGGAGAGTAATAGTGCTATTTTATTTTGCATTGACTATAATCTATCTTGAATATTGTTTTCCCTTCTAGACACCACATTTAATGAACAAACAGAACATGTTTAAGAAAGATAATGAGGATTATCAGTGAACTAGAATCTTAGTTCTAAACAAGACTAAAGGTAATAGCCTAATTTTCCTGGTTCCATAGTACAGGATTGGTAGGATTTAAATTAGAGAATTAAACTTCAACAGACTATTAAAATACAGTTTCTGGCACTAAAAGCAGTTTGATAGTGGAGTCAATTATGCAGAATAGTGGCAGGTTTCTCTCTGGATGTGCTCAAGTGGAAACTGTCCAGATGGATTAAAGTGATGTATAATCTTCATGAATGAATAAACTAATGTTTTTAACAACAATCAGTGCATAATACATTCTGTTCTTTAATTCAAAATCACATTATGATATCTAAACCTTTTTTCTCTTTCAATAACAAATGTAAGAATATTAACTCAAAATGGGAGAATCCTAGAACAACCTCGTCATAAATGTCAATGCCGCCTGAATAGTAATCTAACAATGTGAAATAGTTTGAAATAATTGCCTGCATAAACAAGTAAATAAAGAAAAATTCCTTGGAATAAGTCTTTAGAATAATTCAGACAACAGAGAATCAACTCCCCCTCCCAATCTTAGAGCATGTAGGAACTGTATTAATTTTGTACTATATCTATACATTTGGCAAACAACACTGATAGTTGTCAATAATACATAAAATTTCATCATATATTATCAATTTTATGTTCCACTGCAACCATTTGTAAGTCCAAAATGTCCTTAAATTGTTTAATAAAACAGATCAGTGACTTCAAAATTGAATTAATAAGATAGCAGAGTTCTTGATGAGTTCCATAAAGCATCTGGATGTGTGGAGAAATAATTCCATTTATAGTAACCCTGGGAGATGGATTAAAATACACATTTTAATCCAATTAAAGAAAAGAAGAATCATATCTTATGCAAGACATGTTCTAGAAATTCAGCCTGCACCATATCAGTGTATTTTCATCCCCAGTGAGATAAACACTATTAAATCTAATTTATCTGATAGAGTAGTTAAAATCCAGTTAACAGTCTAATAGCTTACTTGTGACACATTTTTATAAATTGAAATTGCATAAAATGAATTGTCAAAAATTTAATAGTGTCAGGTCTTTATGCCAGAGTCACAGTCTACATTTTAGCATCTGTATTTAATAAAGAAATTGGGTAATAATTTGCATAGGGAAATCTTTCCAGAAAATCACAATTATAAAATGTTCATTAAAAGGAGGCAAAATGTTATTCAAAAAGACATCATTATATATGTCCAAGAGTCTGGGAGTGAAACATAAGTGTTTCTGGAAAAACATAAGTGTGAGATGCTTTACTCTAGAGCAGGTTTTCTCAACTCGGCCCCTTGAAGATGTGCGGACTTCAACTCCCAGAATTCCCCAGCCAGCAATGCTGGCTGGAGGATTCTGAGAGTTAAAGTCCTCACATCTTCAAGCGACTGAGGTTGAGAAACACTGCTCTAGAGGTTCTTCAGGATTCATGACTTCTGCTTCAAGACCAGGTGGCAGTCATGCTTAGGAGGTCCCATTGCATTGGGTGTAAGCTGTAGCAATTCCTACATCAGGAAATCCCATGTTCAGTCATTCATGCCCTGGACACCTCCATATGGATTACTGTAATGAGCTCTATATGGGGTTGCATTTGAAGAACATCCACAAGCTTCAACTGTGCAAAATATGATGGCGCATGCAGTTGTGTATGGATTTAGATCAGAACCAGTTACACTTCTGCTCCATGAGCTGCACTGTCTCCCAGTTTGCTTCCAAGTTCCTTTCAAGGTGTGGACCTCTAAAATCCTACATGGCATAGGGCTTAGGATATTGGACGGACCAGTCTCCCCAATCACATCAACTTTTATTACTGATCTTTTGCATAATCTAATTACATTTGAAATGCTTCTTATTGCTATTTCTACATTGTTTGGGATGAGACTTAACCTGAAAATAAAAAGTATAATGGATTGGCAGAAAGAGCATGAAGGAATGTCATCTGCATCCCTTCTCATGTAAATTTGCCAATCAATCAATACAATCAATCTTAACTATTATGTAGAAGGCTGATATGGGACATTCCTATACAGAATGTTTATATAAAAAAGAAAAACTGTGATAATAAATATTATAATTAATATAATTACAACTTGCCAACACGAAATGCCAGCAAAATATTAATAAGGCTACTCATGCTAACACTGGAGATTAAAATCTGAGTTATTAGTTAGTTATTCTTAAAGGATCTTTTCAGAGAAATTCCCAAAATAACTTAAATCATTTTTTTTCTTTTAATGACCCTCTAATCCCTTGCATTGGGGTAGAGTCGGGGTAACTTAAATCATATACTTTGGCAATTCTAAATGTATTTTCCGTATTAGGTTTCATAGTTTTAAATAGTTTTTCCAAATTACTGTTTTTATTATCGGTCTTTTACATAATCTAATTACATTTGAAATGCTTCTTGTTGCTATTTTTACATTGTTTGGGATGGACATAACCTGAATATATATATATATAGTATATATTTGCTTTTGCAATTGATTTATACACCTGTTGTTTACTTGTATTTTATATGCAATGTTTTTGCAAGGCCTTTGTTCAAAGCATAGAACACAGTGCATTTAGGATGGATTGGGAATAAAAACATACATAGCCCAGCACATATGAAGTGTGTCATATTGAGAAAGGCAGCTTGGATATGTAAGGTCAGTTCATTATTTATTTTATGGTGCACAAAATGAATGTGCATCACGGATGTATAATGGATTAATCTACTGATTTATCTGATCTAATTTAAAAGCCTTACACTGACCTTGTCAGTAGGTAAACTTTCTGTAGCAAAAACAAAGAAAGCTGTGATCTTCATTTCTATTTTTTTTTTTCAGTATGTCCCTCCTGATCTTTGCATCTGTAATTTTGTACTGGAGCAGTCTTTATCTGTCAGAGCCCTCCAGGAAATGCTTGCCCACACAAGAGACACTTCCAGGGAAGGGGTAAGTACAATTGTTTTCCTTTGGCATTGTGAGATTTCAGTCTTACAAAAACAAACTTTTTACTTTCCTCCGTGGACCCAGAAGCCTTTCAAAATAAAACTATTAACAAGTTTTATAATATTTTCAATATTTTCCTTTGTTTGGAAATCTTCCAATCTCTCAAGTTTTTTAAATTTCAACCTGGCTTAAATTTCAGTACAAGGGCACTTAATTGGCTAGGCAGCTACAAAATATACAGCACAATAAAAACTATACTCATTTCTTCATCCCTCAGACATTACCAGAATGCAAGTGGCTATTACAAGATGAAGCATATTCTTGGAGATACAGCTATCCTTTGACAATCCAAGATGTTTAGAAATCTAGTTGCGTTGAATGTAGGTCATTTGCAGAGTAGCATTACTTTTCTATTTAAATCAATGGAGCAGAATAAGTTGGTAAATTTATTTTTGTAATACTTTGCACTCAAATAAGAAGAGGTTTTGAATTATATTTTGTATCATTCTCCACTCTGCTTTAAAATATAATTGCATGAATTGCAACTAAGTATTTGAAGATATGACTCAAGTCAATATATTTATATATTTTTATCCTGCCTTTATTATTTTTACAAATAACTCAAGGTAACAAACATATCCAACACACTTTCCTCTTCCTATTTTCCCCACAACAACAACAGCAACAACAACCCAGTGAGGTGCAATGGGCTGAGAGAGAGTGACTGGCGCAAAGTCACCCAAATGGCTTACATGGCTAAACTGGGACTTGAACTCATGATCTCCTGCTCTTTAATTTGGTGCCTTAAACACTAGACCAAACTTTTCTCTAAAATACATGAATTTACTGTATTTTTCGGAGTATAAGATGCACTCCCCTCCCCCAAAAAAGTGGTTGGAAATGCCTGAGCATCTTATACAGCGAATGTTGCTGAAGCCCTGCCCACCCGCCCACTGCTGGGATCACTGCCGCCCATTGGCACTGTTGCTGATGGATCCTGGCCGCTTGGAACAGGCCGAAAATGGGGCGCGTAGAGGCGGTAATAGGTAGCAGCGGTGATGGGTGGTGCCAGTGCCGATGGGTGGTGGCAATCCCCACATCCCGGAACAGCTGATAGGAGGTATTCTGGGAGGCCAATCCAACCGCCAATCAGCTACTTGTACTAAATCAGCCTGTGCTGAAGCTGATCACACTGTTTGCTGTTTGCTGAAGGAGGCAAATTGCTGGGACGCAGAGACAGATTTTTTTTTCTTGTTTCCCCCCCCCCCCCCCCCAAAAAAGCTAGGTGTGTCTTATACTATGGAGCATCTTATAGTCTGAAAAATACGGTAATGGAAGCTAAAGTCTTCATATATGCAAGTAATGATATGGGTGCTAAACATTGTAAGAGAAGTTTCATCTACTTGTTTAAATGATTGGTATCTTTCAATGACTGTGAGTTTCAGATTGAAGAATCCTCTGATCGTGATCAGATTATCCGTGCAGGAACTCCTTGAACATGAAATTAGCCAGTGTAAAAGCAGAATAAGATTTCTATGTGTAGAGAGACTATTAATTCTGATCTTAGGGTAATCAACTGTATATGAATTCCACCCATAGTGAATGGCTTGAAAGAAAAGCCAGTTTTTAATCTCTTCCTGAGAAATTCAGCACCAATTAAAAACATCTCAACAGAAACAGAACTCTGGCTAAGCTGCTCTGCTTAGTTTTAGATTAATTATACAATCAAAATAAAGAAAAACCAATGCATTTCCCACTGAGATTGTCAACCCTTGGATCACGGTAACATTGTTCAGTCTTGTTGCTGCCCTATGCTTTATTGAAACCTAGTTACATGATGATATTGATGCCAACAGCATGCAAATTCCAGGGTTTCAGATACATAGAGTAGACAGAATTGCAGAATCATCAGGTAAAAAGAAGGGAGGAGGCTTATGCTTATATGTCAACAACAGCTGGTCTCAGGATATAACTATAATATATAAATTCTGTGATGAAAACTTAGTGTCTTTACTTATCAACTGTAAACCATTTTACTGACCATGCGGGTTCTTCTCATTTCTACTGATTGCTGTTTATGTTCCCCCACAAGCCTGTGTAAACAAGGCATTACAAACTCTAGCTGACCAGATTATGGAGGTTGAAGCAAAATACCCCGATTCACTGGCCATTATTTTGGGAGATCTGAACAAAGCAAACTTAAAGAGCTACCAAAATATTTTCAGCATGTCAATTGTCCCACTAGAGGCAAGAATACTTTAGACCATTGCTACACAACACTAAAAGATGCTTATCGGTCTTTACCATGAGCAGCTGTGGGACACTCTGATCATTGCATGATTCACCTTGTACTGCTTACAGGCAAAGACTTAAAACCACAAAACCAACAATTAAATCAGTGAGGATCTGGACCGAGGAGGCAAAGTTAAAGCTACAGGCCTGCCTTAACTGCACTGATTGGAATGTTTTTTAAAGTACCTCTGCAGACTTAGATGAACTCACAGATACTGTAACATCATCTGTCAGCTTCTGTGAAGAGCTATGTGTACCGACCAGGAACTTGTGAATATACAGTAACAACAAACTTTGGTTCACAGCTAAACTTAAGCAGCTACGTCTTTCCCAAGAGGAATCTTACAGAAAAGGTGATAAAATGCTGTACAATCAGGCCAGAAATGTATTAACAAAGGATATCAGAGCAGCAAAAAAGAAGCTATTCTGAAAAGCTAAAGAATAAGTTCTCAACAAATGAACCAACAAACATGTGGAAAACTCTTAAAAATACCACCGGTTACAGCAAACCTCTTTCCCAGGCTGAAGGAAATCAACAACTGGCAGGTATGAAAGGAAACTACAGCCACCTATCTCCACAACCCCCATCTCAGACACACCAACAACAGCCAAGCCTCCTACAACTGACCCCATCCAATTGGGTTCACAACCCCTAGTGATCACAGAAAAGGAAGTGCAAGATCTATTTTATAGACAAAAGCCAGGAAAAGCTCCAGGCCCAGACAAGATAACTCCTTCTTGCTTAAAAGTCTGGCCCCCATCTTCACCCACATCTTCAATAAATCGCTAGAGATGTGCTTCAAATGCTCATCTCAAATGCTCTACTATCATCCCAGGGCCGAAGAAGCCCACCATCAAGGAACTGAATGACTACAGATCAGTTGCTCTAACATCTGTAGTTATGAAAATCTTTGAAAGGCTAGTGCTGTCCCACTTGAAAACCATCATAAATCCGCTATTAGGCCCCCTACAATTTGCATACCGAGCAAATAGATCAACAGATGATGCTGTTAACATGGCTCTGCACTACATTCTACAACATCTTGAATCTCCAAAGCAAGGGTCCTCTAGACTTTAGTTCAGCATTCAACACCATCATACCAGATATTCTTCTAACTAAGCTAAACCAGCTAACGGTACTTGAACACACTTGTAAGTGGATCATTAGCTTCCTAACAGACAGGAAGCAGCAGGTAAAGCTAAGCAGAATCACATCAAATACCTGTACAATTAGCATAGGAGCCCCACAAGGCTGTGTGCTCTCTCCACTTCTCTTCTCTCTCTATACCAATGACTGCATCTCACACGATCCATCTGTTAAACTACTGAAGTTCACAGATGACACAACAGTGATCGGTCTCATTCAAAACAATGATGAATCCGCATACAGATGGGAGGTTGAACAACTAGCCTCATGGTGTGACTAGAACAATCTGGAACTGAACACACTCAAAACCGTAGAAATGGTGAACTTTAGGAGAAATCCTTCCATACTTCCACCTCTTACAATACTAGACAACACAGTATCAACAGTAGAGACCTTCAAATTTCTAGGTTCTATCATATCTCAAGATCTAAAATGGACACTTCATGTCAAAAACGTCATCAAAAAAGCACAACAAAAAGTGTTCTTTCTGTGCAAGAAGAACTGTGCAACTCAGAAAGCTCAAACTGCCCAAGAAGCTGCTGATACAATTCTACAGAGGAATTATTGAGTCTGTCATTCTGCAACCCAACAAGACAGACACAGACTTCAGAGGATAATTAGAACAGCAGGAAAAACAATTACTATCAACCTGCCTTCCATTGAGGACCTGAATACTGCACGAGTCAAAAAGAGGACTGTGAAAATATTTAGACCCCTCGCATCCTGGACATAAACTGTTTCAACTCCTACCCTCAAAATGACGCTATAGAGCACTGCACACCAGAACAACTAGACACAAGAACAGTTTTTTCCCCGAACTCATCACTCTGCTAAACAAATAATGTCAAACTGTCAAACTAGTTACTAAGTCTGCATGACTATTAATCTTTTCATCGTTCCTATCACCCATCTCCTCCCACTTATGACTGTATGATTGTAATCTTGTTGCTGGTATCCTTACGATTTATATTGACTGTTTCCTAATATGATTTGATTGCTTATTTGTTCCCTATGACTATCATTAAGTATTGTACCTTATGATTCTTGACAAATGTATCTTTTCTTTTATGTATGCTGAGAGCGTATGCACCAAGACAAATTCCTTGTGAGTCCAATCACACTTGCCAATAAAGAATTCTATTCTATTCTATTCTATTGAAACTTCAGATTTACCCACTTTGATAATTAAGTGGTGAACCTCTCTTTTCCCTGTAGAAGGGATGATGTGGAAAAAGAAATTATGTTTGATCACTAGTTGATCATATTCCCAATTTTACTTTAGGAGTAAATCTTTCATAGCTTTTGACTTCTAGTTCATAATTTGAAGCCCAGAATAGGTTAAAGCCTCTTCCAGGTATTGTCTCTCATTGCAGAATATACATATAAGATTTCTTACATGTATCCCATCATCTTGTCAAATGAATCATGTTTAAATAAATACAACCTTCTCTTTTCACTCTTCAGCAGAACATGTAACAGGAGGCTTGCAGTTATGGGCAATTTCCCTGGGTCAGTAACTTCGTATTTCTGAATGGGGCTTTGCTGTTTTTAGCTAGTAAATCCT